CAACAGTTATTTTTCTTTTAATTAATAATTCTTCACGTACAGTAGAAGAAGTTAATTCAAGTTTGACTAATTTAATATCATTGTTAAATTTATTTTTTAATCTAATAACATTTTTAACTTGTTGATAATGTGTTTGAATTTCTTGACAAAATTCATTGAAATCCAAGCGAAGATCTACATTTTTGATTAACAATGATAACTTGGATGGAATAGACGGAGAAGATGGAAATGTATAATTTTCATTACTAAAGGTATTAGGCCAGTGATTTGTATCTAATAGAAAAGAGAACGAAGAAGCATCTTTCAGGAAAAGAAGAAAATCATATTCATTGTTGGAATTTCTATTAGATAAACGATAATTTAAGATATTGATTTCCATTTGATACTTTTAGTTACAATAAGCAGATAAACCTTCTTTAATTTGATTCGATATAACTTTACCAGCATTGAACCTGATGATAAAGGGGAGAAATGAGTAACGTGTTTATGCATAACGAGCAGATTCAGTAGTGATTGAAATCTATTGTGGATCAGATGAAGGTAGAGCATCTAGAACTTGTGAATCACCTGAGACTTGTTGAGTATCTTGTAATTCTTGAGTATTTTGAACTTGTTGAATACCTTCCATTTGTTGAACTGCCTTATGAAGTAAAGGTTTTAGCAGCAACAGCGGTCGGCGTAGAAGACACAGGTGAAGACGCCACAGGATTTGAAATAACATTTGCTTGATAATGTGTACGTTTTTTCTTAATTGCAGATGTCGCAAGTTTGTGTTTGATTTTATTTTTATTTTTATTTTCTACTTGTTGAAAACCATCAAGTGAAAGAGTGGACGAAAGTCCATTTTTTATAGGTACAGTTAGTGAACCAATAACCATATTTGTTGAGACTGGAGCCGAAACCACTGAAGTGTCATTTGAACAATATTGTAAAATATTATTTGAAGAAGAAGTCATTTAGAATGATTCTAGTTCAATAATATTTATAAAGAATAATAAATAATAAATTTTTTTTTTCTTGTACACACTCAGCGAGTACTTGAAAGAAAAAAAATAAGGAAACTAGATGGTATTCGAGTTTCGACTCGAATACGAAATGTGGTGCGAAGCACGAATCTCTCGAATTTTCGAAAAAACGATATTTCCTAGAAAACGAAATTTCAATTGTCGAGTTAATAGCAATCGTCATTTCTAGTTGAATTGTGTACAGACTGCCGAACGTAGACACTTCTCTGTAACATTCGAATTCCAAAAATTACTTTTTCACGAGTCAGCTGATATAAGCCGTGAGAAAATTGAAAAGAGCCATAACAAAATTCATCGCCACGAGAACTCTATGAAAGCCTATGAACACTTTTCTGAAGGACGATTTCGATTGATTTTTTAATTATCTAATATGATTCATTATCTATAATCAGCTGTGATTACAGCTGTTTGACATATGAACAAAGAGAATGGTGCCTAACTTTTCTTTTCGTTTTCGTTTTAATTATCTAAAAATGAAAAGAATATAAAGTCCTCTCAAATTTGTCATTTTCGGAGGCTACTTGTAAATAAACCGAACATCTTTTGGAGAGGAACGAAAAAGAATTTATCGGCTCCATCTCGATACTTCGACTTCGCGTTCGAACGAGTTTTTTCTCAATTTCCGTTCTCGAGATCATCGCGGCACACAATGACTACTTTTGATGCGTATTCGAGAAAGTAAAAAAACTAGATGGTATTCGAGTTTCGACTCGAATACGAAATGCGGTGCGAAGCACGAATCTGTCGAATCTGCGAAAAAACGGTACTTTCTAGAAAACGAAAATTCGATTGTCGAGTTAATAG